ACACGCACACGCACACGCACACGCACACGCACACGCACACGCACACGCACACGCACACGCACACGCACACGCACACGCACACGCACACGCACACGCACACGCACACGCACACGCACACGCACACGCACACGCACACGCACACGCACACGCACACGCACACGCACACGCACACGCACACGCACACGCACACGCACACGCACACGCACACGCACACGCACACGCACACGCACACGCACACGCACACGCACACGCACACGCACACGCACACGCACACGCACACGCACACGCACACGCACACGCACACGCACACGCACACGCACACGCACACGCACACGCACACGCACACGCACACGCACACGCACACGCACACGCACACGCACACGCACACGCACACGCACACGCACACGCACACGCACACGCACACGCACACGCACACGCACACGCACACACACACACACACACACACACACACACACACACACACACACACACACACACACACACACACACACACACACACACACACACACACACACACACACACACACACACACACACACACACACACACACACACACACACACACACACACACACACACACACACACACACACACACACACACACACACACACACACACACACACACACACACACACACACACACACACACACACACACACACACACACACACACACACACACACACACACACACACACACACACACACACACACACACACACACACACACACACACACATACATCATCCAACTTTTCACTAATATGTGACAACGATAATTATTTAAAGTATGAAATATACTATCATGATTTCAGAAATGCTAATTTCTTACAATTAAACAATTTCTTGAGTTCTATAAATTGGAACAATGTTCTAAGCAGACACAACATTGATATTGCTCTTGAGCAATTCTATGACATAGTTTACACGGCTCTAAACTTGTATGTTCCTGTAAAAAAGTTCAGATCTAGTAATTTTCCATCTTGGTTTTCACCCTACCTTAAACAATTGACTATTAATAAAAAGATAGCCCACAAGCGATACAAACAAACTAAAAACTTAGTAGATTATCAATACTTTTCAGAAATTAGACAAGAATGCAAGACGATTAGCAATGAGTGTTATGAAAGGTACATTGAACGAATAAACAAAAATATAACAAATGATCCTTCTTCATTTTGGAAGCATGTAAATAATTTGAGAAATCAAACAAACTACCCTTCAAGTATGCATTTTAATGGAGAATTTAGCAATGACGGCTATTCTTCAGTGTGCCTTTTTGCTAAACACTTTTCTTCAGTATATTCTAGTGATATTCATGCTTCTCCAAATTACAGCAATGATAAAGCCATGGATCTGGACTATTTTCATATTTCTATTCAAGATGTTTTTAATGGCATATCTGAACTAAAGTCTAAAGTATCGTTTGGCCCTGATGGTATACCTGCAGTGTTCTTGAAGAATTGTGTTTGTACTCTCACACAACCCTTGCATCTGTTATACAATTTATCTTTAAAAACCTCAGTATTCCCAAGCTTCTGGAAGAACGGTTTTATAACTCCTATTTATAAGTCTGGGGACAGAGAAAATATATCAAATTACCGAGGAGTTTCAATTCAGTCTGAAATTCCAAAGTTATTTGATAAATTAATTTCTGTACAATTGGCCTGGTCAGCAAAACATATAATTGTTCAGGAACAGCATGGTTTCTCATTGGGCAAATCGACCTCAACAAATCTCTTATGTTACCAAAATCACATTTTGAATGCCTTTGAGAACAAGTTGCAATTTGATAGTATATATATACAGATTTTTCAAAAGCATTTGATAGAGTTAATCACAATTTATTAATAAGTAAACTTGAGTCTTTTGAGATACATAGAAGAATTTTGAATTGGATCAAAAGTTTCATATCAAATCGGGTGCAGTGCGTCAAAATTAATAATTTTGTATCAAACGCACTAAACGTTTCTTCTGGAGTTGGAGTACCACAGGGGTCCCATTGTGGACCAATTTTATTTAATCTTTTTATTAACGATATTGGTGAAGTATTTGATCACTCAAAATATCTCCTATTTGCCGACGATTTGAAAATATTTAAGTCAATAACAAACGATAAAGACTGTGATTTGTTGCAAGCTGATATAGATAGATTTTACAACTGGATCACACTTAATGCTCTTGACCTCAACACTTCTAAATGTTATGCCATGACCTTCTCTAGGAAAATAGCAACTTTTATTCATGATTACAAGGTTAACGGCAACATTCTAAAAAGGGTGAATGAGATCAAAGATCTCGGCGTTATTATGGATAAAGAATTAAACTTCAAGAATCATATCGAAAAACTAAAATCTACAGGGTTTAGGAATATCGGTTTTATAATTAGAAATAGTAAAGACCTATCTCTGAGCAATTTAAGACTTATTTATTCATCACTTGTTAGGTCAAGTCTTGAGTATGGATCTGTTGTGTGGTGTCCTTTTTATCAATGTGATATAAATATGTTAGAAAGAGTGCAGAAGAAATTTCTTAGACACTATGCTTATAGACTGGGTTATAGGTGGAGTGAAACAAACTATCAATCAATAGGTAGTATTTGTAACTTAATATCACTGGAGAAACGTAGACTTGATGCAGATCTATTGTTTGTTTATAAATTGATTAATGGTTATATCAACTGTCCTGATTTATTGTCACAATTTTGTTTTAATGCTGGGCCAAGAACGAACAGAAATAGACCTACCTTTTATATACATTCACACTCAACCAATTATGGTTATCATAGTCCGTTGTCTCGTTTGCCCCGTGAATATAATCATTGTTCGTTAGATATCTTCTACAAATCACTAACTACGTTCAAAAATGCTTTAAAATCGCTGTAAATAACATTAAAATAACTATATCTAATCTATTAATACTTAACCTTCTATGTTCATTATTTCTTATAGTTTTATGTCTACTTTTAATAGTTAATTTTTCTGCGGTTTTAAAAATAGGTATCTGTCTGTATATGTAACCTGTGTTAATTTAATTTAATTTAATTTAATTTAATTTTAATTTTAATTTTAATAATTTTGTATTTTTAATATGTATTTCAATTTTGTATTTTCAATATGTACTGGAAATCCGTAAATAAATAAATAAAATAAATAAATAGTCAAAACAGATTCAGGGGACCCCAAAACGTAAAAATCCGTCGAAAACTGGAGGTCGAAAAAAATTATGATTCCTATACTTTCCTTATTTGTATACAGATAGGAAAGTAAAAAATGTTCAGTAGGTACCTATACAAAAATTAATATTATTCCCTTAGGTAGGTACCAGTGTTGCCAGTCTAATACAATTGTACTAGATCTAGTACATTCTCTGAGAATCTGGTACTCTAGTACACTCGAAACAAAATCTAGTACTTTTTTCAGCGTAGGTATGTTTCCATCTGAAGTGTAATTGGTCAAAAATTGCAAGAGAAATCAAAATAGCTGTTAAAAATTACTTCAGAGATAAAATAGTAGAAATTTCTCGAGAGATGAAACATTGTTTAAAAAATTCCTTGAACGATAAAATACTATTAGAAAATGCTCGAGGGATAAAATATTGTACAAACATTGTTCGAAATATAAAACATTGTTAAAAATTTATCGAGAGTTAAAATATTTTTATAAATTTGTCGAGAGTTGTGCAGTTTGCTAAAAAGATAAGAAATTTATCGAAAGATAAAATATTGTTTAAATATAGCTCAAGAGATAAAATAGTATCATAAGTTATTAAAATCTTATTCAAAAATTACTCGAAAATTAAAAAATACTGTTAAACATTTCTCGAGAGATACAACATTGTTTAAAAATTGTTAGAAAGATAAAAAATGTTAATGAAAATTGCTCGAGAGATAAATATAGTGTAAGAAATTATTAAAATTTTGCTCAAAAATTGCACGAGAGATCAAATATTGTTCAAAAATAGCTTGAAAGGTAAAAAAGCTGTTAAAAATTGCTCGAGTGATTAAATAGTGTTAAAAATTGTACAAAAAATTTTTTACAAACATTTCCCGAGGGATAAAAAAGTTGTTAAAAATTGCTCGAGAGATAAAATACTGTTAGAAATTTGTTTAAAATTGTTTAAAAACTGTTCGAGAGATAAAATATTATCAAAAGGTGTTAATTCTTTTTCAAAAATTGCTCGAGAGAAAATATATTTAGAAATTGTTAAAATTTTGCTTAAAAATTGCACGAGAGATGAAATATTGTTCAAAAATAGCTTGATAGGTAAAAAAAGGCTGTTAAAAATAGCTCAAGTGATTAAATAGTGTTAAAAATTGTAAAAACATTGCTCGAGGCATAAAAAAAAGTTGTTAAAAATTGCTCGAGAAATAGAATACTGTTAGAAATTTGTCGAGAGATAAAATATGGTTTAAAATTGTGTTCGTGTTCTCTATAAACCTTTTTTTGCTCTGGCCATTAACATACTTCATAATTAGAAAAATCTGGTAATTTTATAGAATCTAGTACATTTTTATGAAATCTGGTACATTTTTTAGATAAATCTGGTACATTACAAAAATATATTCTGGCAACACTGGTAGGTACGTACCTTATTAAATATTATGGTCATGAGGCGCCATTGAATAGCATTGTAACTTATCACTACCTAATTTACTTTAGTACAATATCTTTTTTACAAAGTGTAAAACAATTATTTAATTTTTAATTAGAAATTAAAAATAATTTATATTTAATTAAACTACAAAAAGGCCAATTTAACAAGTATTTTTCAATGAATAGAGCAATATGATAGCCAACGGGGGTAAATAAAAACAGAAGATAGGAACACTATTATTATTATTATCATCGTTCTACCAGCTACATTATCACGAACTAATTCAGATAGATAGTTCATTAAAACAAAAAACAGTCAACAAAATAATAAACTACTTTTCATTTGAAACTTTTTTTTTTAAATAAAACTATTAACGTACTAACCTTTTTTCCATTAACAAAAAACACCAGAGTACTGGAATTCTTTTCGTCTATCTGCACAATTACCATCTTTCAGTGTGTCTAAGTTTAATCAGCATTCATTTTTATTCGAACCTTTGGAAAGTATATTATGAGCTGCTTGGTATCTCTCACGTGATCTGTCTCTTTCTGTCGCTACTAAAAGTTGATTGTTGATAAAAACAAAATATTATCATTTTAATAATACTTTTAGTACGTAAGCAAGCTTTAATGATTAAAAATTATTGTGTAAAAAAATTCTGGAATATTTAAATCTAAATTAAAACTAAATTTAATAAAAATGTACATTTTTTTTAATTTTACATATTATTTTCTAGACACATTGTATCGAGAGATGATTGACCCTATGAAACATAGTCCTAAATAAATTGAAAATAAAAATAGGGTAGAGTGGGGGAATACCTGCCATGGAGGTAAAATCGGCCACCGGTTTTTTCAGGTGTAAATCGGGCTATGAAGGCCGTGACGTTGTAAGCATTCGATCATGTATTGGAATAGATACGCCTTGTTTACATAAACAATTGTCGTATGATAATAAGGTCCACAATCGCATGCACAACAAACTGTGGTACCAGCAGAGGTTGCCGCAGTGTCACTTTCGGTTAAACGTATAAGGATAATAATTATTAGTTCCCAATGTTTCAAGGTTCGAAATACTTAATATGGAGCTTAATATTTAACAGTTCCTTTAAGAATCTTAATCATATTCATAAAATTTCTCATTTAATTTTCTTCTGCATTGAATCGGTGTTTAAATTAGATGTTTTTAGATTTTGTTCACTACAATCCATCGGTTTAACCATTAAATACTATATTTTAACTGGACATTTGGCAACCCTGTTTCTGTATGTTTTTAAAAGTGTCATTCGGTGTTTTATTTTAGTGAAATATTCTTGTTTTATTTATTTATAAGAAAGAAATTATTTACAAACGTGATTATACATTTCAAAGCAGTAAAGAGATGCATAATTTTCCGAACATTTTGGACCAAAAACACCCAAAACCAATGCTTGCTATTTTCACAGGTAGGTTATGTCAAAATCAATCTCATGAAATGTAAATAATGTAGATATCCATGGGCGTAACAACTGTGCTAGGGTTTTTTTATTTCTTGATATAAAAATACCTAATAGTAGAAACTGGATATTTTATGGTATATACGTTTTACACGTTTCCGAGAGACATTGTCTAATGTTATTGTGGCTAAACGACTTGAAAATAAATGAGCAAGATCTCAAAACTGAAAGATGCCAAAGTTTGTTCAGATCACTTTTCACATGAAGATTTATTTAGCTATAATAAAATCGAACATTTTATTTGAAATCCAATGTTTTGTTAATAGAGTAAGTAAACAAGTGCGTCTTTATATACATACTTTCGTATTGATATAGGTAAAAAGTAATTTATAGGTATTTATTGCAAACGTCTACTTACACCTAGTTAAACAATTCGTTTCTGAAACAAAGTGTTATTGAGGTCTAAAATACTGTGAAAAATAGCTTAGAACTGTTGTCTCCCAATTGTAGTTTAATAAACACAAAGTATACTTTTTGATTATATTAACCCATTATTGAAAACATATTTTTTTTAGTACATACTTCGTTGAGGGAAGTAGTATAGAAAATGTATATGTGTGAACGTATGATGATTATATTCGCTCAGTGCGAAGTTATGGTAGGGGAAGCAAAAGCGATACTAGCGCAAGCTGCAGATAATTCGACCACTTTAGGGAGATATTTTGTAATTTTGGCGTATCAAATACACGTATACATTTTACTTTTTTTGCAAAAAAGAAGCAAGAACAATGTAATAAGCAACCGTAGTTGGTGTGTACTAGAAGTAGAATCTCCCAAGGTATTTATTTTTTTAATTTATTCGGGTTCTGTGAATTAGAAAAGGAAACATCAATTCACGTCCTGCACTAATGTGAAAGCCTAACTAGATTGAGATTTCTTATACTAGATGAAAAAAAGCCAGACATATGTGACTACATGCATGTGGATGCCACTGTCAAGGAAAATAAGTCTAATAAAAAAGTCCAAGCTTAGATGACAAACTCTAAAACAAACGGAGTCCCACAATAGATCTGAAAAGGTCGCGGTGGACACGTACACATAATGTCAAAACTCCGTTTAAATCTAATATCTAAGCTACCCTTATTTTTGACAGAAGCGTCGTGACATGCCACTCATATTTTGGTAAACCTTTTTTGTACAATTGCTATCGCATCATAATTTTTACGTAAAAGTCTTCAGTATTCTAAGAAATTCATGTATTCGTTTAATTGGGCATTTAGAAGCAAATTGATATGAAAATATTGTTTATTATTCGCACTCATAAGGAGCCTGTATAATAATTGCAAATGGTTACAACGTTGCCAATTGTCAATTAAAATGTTGAATATTGCATAAAACCATGGAAGTGACTCTTTTTTCGAAATATCAGTATACAATTTCAAGACAAAATAATAAAAACGGTAAACCCCCTTGGATTATGGAGGAACATAATAATGATCCCATATGCGCGGGGTACTGCCTAAATATAACCAATGGGTTTTAAATTGTAAACAATTTTACTGCAGGTAAATATACTAAATACTTATGGTATCTAATACCGACCAATTTAAAATGAGTTGTTTACATGTAGTAATTATTAAGGTAGTTCACGCGCGACAGTCGTACACAAAAATATCGCCAGTAGTTTGAGATTCTCAATGCTGAAAAATGTTATTTTTGTAAGATACTGAACACAACACATGTAAGCTTATGTACGGATACGTTATTATTTCAAGTAAAATCCATCCGGCAACGTCACAAATATAGGAATGGTGCGATATCAAGTGTATACCTATAGACATTTTGTGACTTCTTCATATTAATTTTAAGGTTTTGTTTTGGTTCAAACAGAAGCGTCGATTCCAGTTCTTAAATACAGTAGACAAATTAATTTTTCAAGAACACTTCACGAGGTTATAACAACCTCTTAGCTGATCGAGTGTAATTCAGTGATTCTGAACTAACAATGTTGCCAAGTTGTAATCCAGTTGTACCCCACTACGCGTCGACTGCTTTAAACATATTTTTCTTTTAAAAATCTATCTTTTTACCAAAACGGTCAAAAAATTCAACGTTTTTTTAGAAAATTGTATAACTTTCTGATTTACATTATATTAGTTTTTAAAAAAATATATTAAGAACTGTTTTCGAAATATCTTGAAATAAATGCATTACTAATGTACATGACAGGCTTTAAGACTGTTAATTATGCACAATTTCATTGTTAATATCTCGTTTCACAGACGGTCAAAAAAAATTTTTTTTTTGTTAGGTACGTAAAAGACATTTTCTTTAACCTTATATTTTAATTTTATTGAACTCTTAAGAAAAGTCGTCTTGCGAATGAACTACTTTAAATATTATTTAAAAAAAAATGAAAATAAATCTTGACGCTTATTTTTAATTATATATAATATGTACCTATTTATTGTAGGTTTTTATTTGCATTTAAATTTTTAAAAAATAGCCATCTATCCAAATAAAACCATTTTAAATAAGGGATTCTTATTATAGGTATTTAAAAATATCAGAAAATGTCAATCGACGCTACCCATTTTAAATTAGTCACACCACTTCATGCATTGTCAGAATTGTTTAAATAGAGAACAAACACAATGCCATTATTTCTTCTGTTCCCTCTAACTTGTGTACGGCAAAATTTTGCTAGAGTACTTTGTAAATAATAAAGTTCATTAATCTCCGTAATTAGGGAGAAGTATTATTATTATTTGTGTATAACTATTTTTGGTTGATAAATAAAATGCTTTAATTGGTCTTTATTTTATTTCATAAAGGAAGGTATGTAGTCAGAAATATGTATAATATTCTTGCTTTACATATAAAACGGGTTCTTCACAATATTTTTTTATTTTCTTTTCTCCTTTATCAGTCAAGCTTTATAGTAGGTATATTTACTCAAAATGTATATAAATTGTTTAAAATTGAGTAAATAATATACAATATGACAAGCCTGTGCATGGTCTATGTAGTATCACAATACTGTGAAAAACTATTCTTACATTGAAAGTTAAAAATATACGCTATAAAACAATATTTTTAAAATCATGTCCATCCGCTTTCATCTAACATTTTATAGTAATTAACAATATATAATCCCTTCCATACGGTACGGCACTGCTAAGTTCTCCGTTTGTATACCTTTCCTCTCCCCGTCTAGATAATCATTAAACCCATTACTTCCACAGGTAAGGCGTATCTATCCTAATACATGATCGAATTTGTAAGCCATCGCCATTGAATGAAATCAGTCAGTAGCACGGGGGTTTATATCATATGCACAATACGTAAACACGTTTCTGCGCATGCAACTCCGCGCTTGGGTGCTCTGAAGTCCGTTTTACAATAGTATTAAAATGTAAAGCACATTGATTAATTTAATAACGTCTCGTTCAGTAGCACACAAAAAGTGTTGTTTCAAAAATTTTAATTCATATATTACAACAAATTAAAGAAAACATGCCTTCACGTTCAAGTTATTTGTACTATGTGAAGATGGCTTTCTGTCCACTGCATGACTGCTGGCTGCCCGCTATAGCGGGCCCCGCGCGCGCTGTCAACAAATAACATCAAAATCAAACAAATGTGTGGTTATGTTATGGTTTTGGTTGTCGACGAAAACATGTGAGTGGAACTACTTTTATTTTTTTTAGATATTTAGGATTATTTAAAATCAAGTAAAGGTATTTTGATGCTTTAACATGTCTTTACCAGGCGGAATTCATTATAAACGCATAATTTCTAATTGTTATAGTACATTTTATAAGGCCCATTTCATACATAAATTTTAAGAACATATATTTTTAAATTTCCTTCTGATATTGATCAAAGAAAGGAATGGTGTCGTATTTTAAACATTCCACTCATTCCACTTACAACCAATCATTATACATTATGTGAAAATCATATTTTGATACAAAATCGTTTAAAAACACAAATCGTTCAAGACTGCTAAAACATTTGCTTTAGCATCCTCAAAACCAGATACACCAAAGATAGTAGTACTTAGTAATATTGTTATCACATCTCCAAACAGAGTCCTGTGAAGATAAAGTTAATTTTAAT